TACCAGGCTCTGAAATATATGATCTGCTTTTACTTAGGAACAGCAAAGCTTTTGAAAAAAAATCACCTTCTGATAGTAACCTCGGCGAACAGAAGAATCCTTTTGTTGACGGAAATGAACGAATCCATAGAGATAGCGAGGGTCAAACGACACCGAAGGCGACAACCGTTCCAGCAGAGTAGCTTGAGCAGAGGTGATTTCTGTTGTTCCTCTAAGAATAATGAGAGTACTTCGCAACTTATGTAAGTAAGAAGTGAATAGGATATGGGACGATACTTGGAGAGAAAATCCTGAAAAGTTGACTGCATTCGTATGAAAAGCATTACCTTCTGATTCTGAAGTGGAAATCAGCATCCTTCATCGTGCCGCTGTTCGAATCCGGAAATGCCAGATAGCAAATATTCGTCTTTTCTTGTGTACTCAATACTGCATCGCCGGGATAGATCACCTAAATGAAAAAAAGAACAAAAATGAACGATCATATGACAGTAATTGTAACATTAAACCTTAACAACTTTTACTTCTCTACTTTATTATCCGTCTTAACAATGTTTAATTTTCAAGGTATGGATCTCAGTACTCATAGCACTCGTTTATTTGTCTTCTTCTTGAACGTTGTAGAAAACAGGCTGGGAGCATCTCCTTGCAATCTCGAGGACAGCCTGGCTGTGGCGTTCCATAAGGCGTTTAATTTGATTGCCGGAGAGTGTTGGGGGTGAGATTCAGCTCCGCGAGCATGGCAACGGGCATCACAGTCACTCGGCCACGGAGCCCCCTATTTCAACGACCAGCATATACAAACATCTAATGATAGCACTACTAATAAATAATGGATAACAATTATTCATTTAGTCGATCCATCGTCACAATTTACTCTGCGGATCCCAGTACTTCTAGCTTACTATTCGCTTCCTTGCGTTCATCCTTCGCAAAGGTCTTTGAAACATTCAGGTGTTGCCTTGATTTGTTCTTAGGGATTTTGTCTTCCTTAAGAACGATTGGAAATGCTTGTCAAGACATTCTTCCAAAAATCCCCAAGGTAGCCGAGCTAAGGCGATCCCTAAGGCATCCGCTAATTAATTGCGAGAGAACTCTGCGAAGAGGATCGAACCATGATCATGATAATCGAACCATGGTTGCTGAATCACCTTGCTTCGTAATACGCTACACCACTAACACCTCATCCATAATGACTCGTAACATTGTTGATATGGCATTACAAAAATACCAGTAAGTGGATACTTACGACATGATATATTAGCGAAGCGCTAGTTCAATCCTCTCTCTCTAAACTCTTGCAATCAATCAATTCAACGCTCAACCCTTTCGGGAATCATGGACCCTTATTTCAACAGCATTGTTATTGTTATTTTCTTACTTATAATAACACAATATAATCACATATAACGTAAAAGGATAAAGGATAAAGCTCTCGGCGTTGATCAATCCCTGAGGGATGCGCCATGCATTCGACTTCAATTTTTAACTTCGTCTGAGGTGAATGAATGCATATCTGGCCTTTACAATGACTCGCGGTGGCCTCCCGCTGAATCGAGTCAGTGCTCCTTATCCTCCCAGACAAGTCTGAGACCTGCCTGGTACCAATTTACCGACCCCGGAGGGATGGATGGCTTGGTGAGCTATGGGCGAGAGATCGAACCATTGACCTCGTGTGCGACGCAGAGCACCTCTAACCACTGCGCCACATGCGCTCCTACATATAAGATAAAAGGATAAAAGGATAAAGCTCTCAGCGTTGATCAATCCCTGAGGGATGCGCCATGCATTCGACTTCAATTTTTAACTTCGTTTGAGGTGAATGAATGCATATCTGGCCTTTACAATGACTCGCGGTGGCCTCCCGCTGAATCGAGTCAGTGCTCCTTATCCTCCCGAACAAGTCTGAGACCTGTCTGGTACCAATTTGCCGACCCTGGAGGGATGGATGGCTTGGTGCATCATGAGCGCGAGATCGAACCATTAACTTCGTGTGTGACGCAGAGCACCTCTAACCACTGCGCCACATGCGCTCCTACATATAACATAACATAGGAAAATAGCAAAGAAATAGTGCAACTGAAATAATGCAATATACTTAATGCGTTCCCACGCTGAGGACTTAGAGATGAAGAGGAGGTGGGTCCACGATCCCTAAGAGCGCCTTAGCTCGACTATTTTCAAAAAATACAAGAAGAATCGTAGAGACCAATCTTTTACAACATTCCCGAAGAAGAAGAGATCCTCAAAAAGCAGTTGCAGTAACACTGAATTATTCAAAGACTCAACGATGAATGCCAAACGAATCGAATGCTACCAGTTGTGGGCTCATCATAGCTAAATGTGATGACAGGTTATGTGTGTGTAAATTAAGATAGCACTATATATAAATAATAAGAAAAAGAGATCGGTAAACGTCGTTACAAGAGCAGCTCTTCACGACAACTCCTCTCATTGTGGTATAATCAGCTTATTCGAAAGTCCTTGACAAATTAACAAGAATATGTTGGATAACTAGACCTCTAGAGCTTGTCCAAGTTCCAGATCAAACGTTACGACACAAATCGAATGCACCCATTCATTGAAGCGTTCCCATGGTGGCCAATCCTTCCCTGCCATCACCAGGACAGTTGGGTGCTAGTCCTAAATTCACATTTCATTATTCGTTCCCAAAGTAACTGAAAAGAGTGTAGTAGAAAACACATAAATCAAAGTGTTCGAAAATATGCGAGAGATTACATCGAGTGAACAAATGACTATGTATGTATGAGGACAGGAGTACTAACTGAAATATTGGATTGGCGAGAAATTTCCCGAACTTTTCCGTTTTTTTCAACTATTTTCCAAGCATTTAAATTTTTGTTCGACTATCGTTTAGAGCATCTTTTTGCGGTTATTTTGATATATAACACTTATACATTAGTTCTAGAAGGGAACTGTCCCGAGAGTAAAAACGATTGTGATGCTACCCAGATATCAGTCAAGTTCAAGCTCTGCTTTGGCACTCAGCGATACTCGTACAGCATCAACAATCGTTTTTGCTCTCGTGAGAATCCATCTTAGAAACAAATGTATAGTGTTGTATCTCAAAATAACCGCAAAAAGATGCTCTAAACTATAGTAAGGACAAAAATTCAAATGCATGAAAATTAATAACAAAAACGGAAAAGTCCGGAAAATTTCTAGCCAACCGAATACCACGGTGGACGGCCACTGAATCGTCTGAAGAGCACCATTAGATGAGACCAATCATTAGATTGAACATACCTGAACCAGCATGGGCACTATAACTATTCAATGAAACCCGGAACCGCGGCTTCGATGTGCGTGGGCTTTTGAGCGATTCGATGACGTGCTTCGTACTAACAACACCACGCACTTGTTTATCAATATGATCCTATCTACGTGGCTGCTTTTGATATCTCATCTAACACTCTATCCACCACCAGACTTGTATCACAGCCTAAGAATAGAGCTCTCAACGTTGGTCAATCCCTGAAGGAGGCGCCATGCATTCGTATTCAATCTGTAGCTTCGTCTGAGAAGATTAGATGCCTATCTGGCCTTTACAATGACTTGAGATGGCTTACTAATGTCTCAAGTCAGTGCTGCTATCCCTCCAGACAAGTCTGGTATCAAGTCACCGATGCTGGACGGATGGAAAGCTTGGAGAGTCTTGAGTGTAAGACTGAACCATCGACCATCAATTGTTCAATCATGTGTGCCGTAGAGCGCCTCCGATCACCACACCAAATCTGCTCTTGTATCGGAGCTTAGCTAAGAGGAAATGTGGAAAAACAATGGTGAGAGGTATTTTGTAAAATACGAACTGAGTTGCTCCTTGCAGACCGCGTGCCGTATAAAGTAAGTCCTTCATCGCCCCGAATGGCCGGAAATTGACGTGAACGATGATTGATTGTTTCATTGCATGCTCTTCGTAGCAGCTTGTGTTCCATGGATCATTTCAATATGGTCTCACGTCAATACTTTCCGTTCAATTTCGTCATTTATCCCTCATGCACTGGTGTCATAGTAGCTCGGAAATCCCATCGATTCGTTGCTTTAGTCTCTTTGAACTTCTCAAGCCACTGCGTCAACTCTCTTCTCATATGGCCTCTTCTCCAATAACGTCATTGATGTCGGCAGTTACTTCGTTGTAAAGATTTCTTCGAAATTCCATCCATGTACCCGTGGTGTTAACGAACATCGCCACATATCCGTTGGCCATGTTCTGAGTCCATATTTGACCACTCCGAGATTCTACAACTCTTGCATTCATTCAACAGGATGTCTTCGTACTCCATGTATTTTCTGTATCCACTTGACCCAACATCATATGCTGCTTTGTGGCAATTAAGCAAAATCACATGCGATTACAGAGTTAGGCATTGAGTAACGGGATCGAGCAAATCTCCATTTGCCCGTATTGAGTGGAACAGCCGTTCAATCGATCCCGCTCACTTGAGAGCATGGAGTGCGCCAGACTCTTCTTATGAGACCTACTCTCCTCGTTGATTTAGACGACAAATCAATCATGTTTGGCTTGCCGGGATCTCTTATAGGGTAGCTAGCTTTACGAATATGCCCCACTCGTTATTAATCTAGGTGGTCCTGATGGAACGGATCGCATTGACACATGTTCAATGGCTATAGAACATGGACGTGTGATGTTCTCTCGGGGGGTTAACAACGATCGGAATGTCATAACCTGTCTATTTTCGCCATTTGAGTTCACTTTCCGATGTTTCTGACTTCATAACCCTTTCGCGTTTAATTCCTTCCCATCTGCACTGTGTACAGGTTTTCTGTCATGGTATCCTGTGCTTAACCTATGCACCGATCTACATAGTATAGAATGCAATTGAAGCGAAAATGAAGGTTATTCTGAATTTCAAACCAACAAAGCCCAAATTCGACTTTGCTAGGTAATTAAACCCAAGATTTTTTATGTTTCTATAATGCTCCCAATGTACATAAGAGAACTGAATGGTAAGGAGATACTCGACGTCAGGCGGAGTTGAAACCCGCGTTTTGCCCATAGCAGGGGCGCGTGCTACCATTACACCACCGACGCACCCATTCAGCTACTACTCATTATTCGATGTTTTTGTCATAGTTATCAGCCACCAACCGCTACCAGGTTTGATCGGGTAAGCAATAGCGTTATATGAAACCACTTAACCTGACAGCCACTGTGATATTAAAAGTCAAGATTTCTTACGTTTTTGCTGCTTTTCTTCGCAGTGTTATGATGTTACCAATGTATTTAAGAGAATTGAGTGGTAAGCAAGACTTAAATTGTGGTGGAGTTTTTGCTTACCTCCAAATTCCCTTAGGCAGTTAAAACCGCTAAAAATCAGAAATCTTCACCCACGAGATAAAGGTTGTTTTCTTCAAGAAAATGAAAATTCCCATTTTCTTAAGGCAACGAATCGTGTTCATTTGTTCTTGACATCATATTACAAGCCTTTCATGAGTACTGCTAAGGCGCTTATCACTCTGAAAGGACGCCACCGCGGTTCTTTCACCGTACGTTGAGTGTAAAAAGTTCGGCGTCGATTTCTCTATATATAAGGGGTATGTCCTCAGGGAGTGCCTGAATCGAAATCACCCTGCTGCTGACGAGGTTTAAAAGGCCGAAACACGTGCCTTGCACTTCTGAAGTGCCATAGCAGACCTCATGAAAGCCTTAAAATATGCTGTCAGGATGTATTAACTCCAAGTTGATTATCAAAATAGTCGATCGGAAAGTACTGTTACATGCTCAGTTTGAGTTTTTCTGCCATAAAAAGCCATATTTCCAATATGAAAAAAAATAAATCCACGTGCCTTTATCGATAAAAACAAGATGGTCCCTCGAAATTTTAAGTTGGCAAGAAACTTTTCAGACTTTTTTGTCGTTCTCGATGCTTTTTCATGCATTTGAGTTTTGGTTCTTACTATCGTTTAGAGCGGCTTCTTACGGTTATTTCGATGCATAACACTTAAAGATTAGGCTTAAGATGGATTTGTCCCGAACACAAGAACGATTGCTGATGCTGCATCGAGTATCGTTACGTGGTTAAGCAGCACTTAAACCCGAAGGATACTCGTCTAGCATCGACAATTGTTCTTGCCCCCGAAACAATTCAATCTTAAGACAAATGTACAAGTGCTATATATCAAAATAACCACAAGGAGATGCTCCAAACGATGGTAAATTAAAAACTCAAATGCATGAAAAAGAAATAAGAAAAACGAGAAAATCCGCAAAATTTCATGCCAACCAAAATATTACAGAATTTAAATTCTCTATGTTTAAAGGGGTTGATGTGCTTTGGCTATGAACAGGGTTCAGCTAAGCAGACGGCCCTCTAATTTGTTTCTTTCAGGCTGTAATGAAGGCGAAATTGCCGCCACTGGAACTGTCTGTGTTGTTCACTGTTCATACTGTTCTGAAGGCATTGTCTCCTATCGATCGTGTCCACTGGATAGGAAAATTACGGAGTTATTCGATCAATACCGGGGTTAATCGATAGACGGCCCTGGGACATTTATGGCTCAATCAGTCGGGGCATATAGAGAGATAATCGAGCCCTTAATTATTCATTAAAGAAAATCACTACGCATATGCAAGAGATCCGAAGAGCAAAGACCACCCCGAAAGCGCCTATGAATAAGTAATTCATTCTGATATATAAGCATCATTTCAAACGAGCGAGACGGCTTGCACCGGAGGTGGAGATTCTTCTAGAGATCAAGGAAAAAAAGAGAAAATCGATAATGAGCGGGAATTCCAGAAGGGGACGAAAAACGAGGGTAGATCACAAAGAGAGAGAGAGAAGTGGAGCGGATACGGTCGAGGGCGGCAGGTGACGACGTGGTCTACCTTAGCGCTCTCACCTCTGTCGATGAGGTGCGAGTATCGATCGGTCGGCGTGTCGGTGTTACACTGGGTTAAAAATGCGCATAAGGCGGTCTATCGATCGCCCCGTAGCTATCAGTGGTGGTTTTCTCTCTCTCTCGTCATAAGACTGACAGAACTGACAATATCTGGGAAACCCACGTATTCCTTTATCATCGGCCTTACCAATCAATAATATTTCCTTGAAAAACTAAGATTACACGACGTTTGATAAATCGACTTTATTCTTCCAAGAATTTTTTGTATTTATGTTTTCTAGCGAGCGCATGTGGCGCAGTGGTTAGAGGTGCTCTGCGTCGCACACGAGGTCAATGGTTCGATCTCGCGCTCATGGCTCACCAAGCCATCCATCCCTCCGGGGTCGGTAAATTGGTACCAGACAGGTCTCAGACTTGTCTGGGAGGATAAGCAGCACTGACTCGGTTCAGCGAGAGGCCTCCGCGAGTCAGTGTAAAGGCCAGATGCATTCAATCACCTCAAACGAAGTTAAAAATTGAAGTCGAATGCATGGCGCATTCCTCAGGGATTGATCAACGCCGAGAGCTTTATCCTTTTTATCCTTTTATGTTTTCTAGCGGATTGATAACGTTCTAATTGTAGATCTACGAACTAAGAGTGGTATAGAAAACATTTGACCTTATGCGGGAATTGAACCCGCGTTCCACTCATACCGGGAGTGCGCGCAACCGTTCACACCACAGAGGTCACGTTATGCTACCTTCCGATATAAGCTAAACGCTAGTGGACAGTTGTGTGTCCCATCAGGGGTAGCGCATGGAGAGCAAATAATTATGTTTCGTGCGCTGCGCTTATAATTATCATCCTTACGTTTTCGCTGAACAAAGCTTATTTTCGTTCTTTTTGGTTATTAGGGAACAAATTAAAAAATCGATTTTATCGCTGGAGAGTTACTTCCCATAGGAGTGTTAGTAACCATTCGAAAGATGAGACTTCAGGCTATCTAGGCTACAGCCCTGAGTCGCCGGTTTTCGAAAAGCCTTTTTTGACACTGCAGAAGGAGATTTCTTGCGTTAAAGACGTGCATATTTCTCGCCGGACAGAGCTCTTTCTTTGAGCTATCAGTAATCATTCGATAGCTTAATCGTTTCTGATTCCAACGCTGTGCTTATATCCTGAAAAGACCGTTTCTCTGAAACGCACGAGTTAATTTAAGTTGAATTCCCATCTGCAATCAAGGGCCACTTTGGCCAATTCACGTACCTGTGCGTGAGGCAGCCATGTGAACTGCTGACGCGTTACTTCTCTATGCGTTCATATGCCCAAAAATCGAAGATCATCGTGAATTGGCCAAAGACACCCTTGATCGCAGATGGGAAAGTCAACTTATTTCCTGGCGGGTGTCAGCAAAACGGTCTTTTCAGGATATAAGCACAGCGTTGAAATCAGAAACGATTATGCCATCGAATGGTCCGAAGAAAGAGCTATGTCCGGCGTGAAGTATACACGTCTGCAACGCAAGAAATCTCCTCCTGTAGCAGTCTCAAAAAAGGCTATTCGAAAAACGGCCGTGTGGGGCTTTAGCCAGAAATCTAAGCTTTCAAATGATCACTAACATTCGTAAGAAAAACGTCTTTTCCAACGAATGAATTCGGTATTTCATTGGTCCCCCTTTAGTCAAGTACCTGATTTTCTAAACTATTTACATGACCTTTAACCAATGGACGTCGTGTACCTACTGAGGTACACGAATGTTTGGAGGTTCGTCTTGCTCATAAGACTTTTCTCTTGGACACTTGGTTTTTTTTCATTCGAGAGCATAAATCTCTGCGATTTCAACGTACGTTTGGTTTTTGGAAAGCCTTTTTGTTACGTCGAAGCAGCGAATATAAAATTATGCTTCGCACTCAGTTTGCTTTATTTATCGCGCGCCCCTTGCGAGTTTAGCTGTGCGATCGATCAACTGCCGTCCCAAAAGGGCTAAATAGGGTAAATTTCGCTGAGTTCGAAATGCACTTGAGATTCAGAAAAAAAAGATTCAGAAAAGAAAAGGAATAAACCCGCAAATAGATCCAGCCATGTGGCTAATACTCCGAGTATGAAACGTAATATTTTTTTCTCGCTTTTGCAGCGCTCGTTGAAGAACATTCAGTAGCAAAACTAGTTTAGAATCAACGAGATTCAATTTATCAAATGCCCTCGAAAAGTCTGGTGAAGCTAAGAACAGACGTCAGCCATGCAAACTAAACAGACTAAAACTGAAGCGTAACTTTGTTTTGACTGCTACTGCTCACTAAGAAGACTTTTTAGGAAGCGAAGTTATCCATAAAAATCACCGTTTCCAAGCTATGATTACCGAAAATTTGGAAAAAAAGCTTTATCGAGCGGAAAAGACCTCAAACTAGTTGTGTACTCAAGAAGGTAACTGATGAAAAACAGCCAAAAACAGACTGTTGGTTCAACGGGTAGCGCAGAAAAAGCATACGATCTATATCACATCGAGTAGATTTCGTTAATCAACAAAAGAAGAATTAACTTCTTCATTACCTTTCACGCCTTTCCAGAGTAAGGTTTTATTTCCTCAGGCTAAAGTGTTATTTTGATAAACATTTCAGATAATAATGATAATGTGTTTTGAGCCTTCAAAAGGTTTGGCATGGCATTCATAGAGTATTATGCAGGCCGAAGTTCTTTTTTCACAAAAATACAGCTCTTTCATCGACCTGTTACCGTACCCATTGGGAAAGGGGTTCGACAAGGCGATACAATATCGCCAAAGCTGTTCACCGCCGCACTACAGTGGATAATGAAGTAACTTGATTGGGACGAAAAAGGCATACGCATCGATGGAAAATTCCTATCAAACCTTCATTTTGCGGATAAAAATGTCCTTTCTCAAATAGCAATGCTAAAGCAAATATGATGCTCAAGGAACTTAACGAAGCGGGAAAGAAGATCGGACTACGCATAAATCGCATGAAGACCCAGTTCATGAAAAATCAATGGTGCGATAATGAACATATTAGGCTGGATGGATCTCTGATTACGGAGACCTCCTCGTACTTGTACTTTACTCGTTCACTGAATATGGAAAACAACATGAAGGAGGAACTTGCCAGAAGAAGGAAAGCAGCGTGGGTCGCATTCGGGCCTCTCAAAGAGGCCATTGATCAAATAACGGACTACAAATTACGCGCTAACCTTTTCGATTCAACAGTCCTTTCAGCGCTTTGTTATGCAGCGGAGACGTGAGCTGATACTTCGACTACGTCAAGACACACTGAACAACTTATAGAGCATTTGAACGATGTCTTCTGAAAATCAGGCTGCGCTCACAACACCTAGCCGACTTGCGCAGCTCAGTCCTCAGGAATTTATCTCATCTTCGTGATCCAGAAAAATTCACGTCGATAGCGAAGCACAGATGAACCGGTCATATAGTAAAAAGATCAGACGACAGATGGAGGAAACGAACTGTGGAGTGGACGCCACGAGAATTTACACGGCCCTGAGGACGATCACCTACACGTTAGGCGGATGTGTTCGTGAAAAGAATCAATCAGCTGTACTCGTACCTGCTAAAATTCTACCGATCACGGTATGAAACTCGCGCCAGTGGCCATGCTCGATTAAAGCCACCGCCATGGACGACAATCGCAAGAAAACTAGACGAATGGAAGATGTGCTGGGGTCCGCAAAATTCGTGAAGGCGGACCATCCAAGTATCCAAGTAAGATACGGGCGAGAACGGCTGAACCGAAAGGCACCGTACTACTGATAAGTCTGGAAAAGAGAAAAAGTTTGTCTAGTACTGTATAAGTGCCATAACAAACCTCATAAAAGGCTCAAAACATGTTATCGTTATCAGATTATTTTTTTGGGCGAGGTCTGTAAAATCAGTCGAATGAACAGGTATAATTCTAAGCTTGGTTTGTGGAAAGATGTGCATAGCCGTTTTACTAACAAAAAGTAGATTACGTTTTGCCATCGCAGTAGTTAACCATTATTTGTTTGAACTTCATCTCAGATTCGTCGTATTTATACAGCAAAATTCTGATTTTGGGGTCACTTTATCGCTAAGAAAGGATAGAATATCACTGGAAGATTACCTTTCAACGCAGGTTTGGTAAAAATCGCGCTAAGACGCCTTAAAAATCCCTACTTTCCAATGCGAAAGCCACATCGATGAAACAACGTCGAATATTCAACTCTATTTCCACATAAGAGGTAGAAAGACGACGCATTCGTCAATTTGAGGGACAAATGGATATTCCCTCTAGAATATGCGGTGTTCTAGAGGAAGGAAGTACGTTGTTTTCTTATTCGACACTCTTCCAACATATTCAACCATGTATTAACGATGAAACTCCCTCAATGACGAAGAAAATCTAAATTTTATTAGAAAATATCAAACTGTCACTAGAACACGCTCGCCACTCGGCGACAGCGTCCACGCGAAATATCATTGCGGTCCGCAACGCGTTAAAGGATACTGATCCAAAGAGGGCTTTTACTGGTGGGTAATATGCTCCTAAAGTGTTAGAAGACGAGTTTAAGATATGTGGCAAAGTTATATGTACTATAAAACACTCCCTCATGCGACTGATTTTTGAGTTGTCGGTCGAAACGTTCCAAAAGTATTATGTGCAGATGTTTTCGATTTCTGTGGAATATAGTGAATTTTACATTGAAATCTCCGCCTCCGTGTCCCATGTTTGCCTAACGCAGTTTTAGGTGGGTTGCAATTTTGTTCTAGAATCTCTTTTATTTATTTGTCTATTTTCAGGTGTGCTCAGGTTTTGGTTCGTAAAAATCAACGTATCACAGTAACTGAGTTGCTCAAAACGGGAATGAAACATCCGATATTCTTGAAATTGACTGGTACAAAACCAGCAAGTGTCTACAGAGCCGTGAAATGTGTTAAAGGGGTTGAAGGGATTGAGGACTGTCATCGAAAAGGTCGTCCAACCACCTCGTCTACTCCGAAAAACATTCAAAAATCCGTCGTCAAGTCAACGAAATCCGGAACGTTCGATACGCAATATGGCTCGAGAAGCTCGGGATCAACGACAGAGCGTCCGAAATAATGTCAAAAGTAAGCTGATGCTGCGCAGCTACAAAATCGCTTGCGATCATTTTGTGGACAAAAAAGATGGAAGAAGAAAGGCTTCCTGTGCCTCGCCGAATGATTCGTTTGATCGCTGAAGCTCGTTTGTCGGAGATACTTTTCATGGATGTGAAGAGATTCACCAGTCATCGCCAGAATAGACGTCAACTCCTCGAGAAAATCAGCGGAAGTCCGCAGCAGCAAAAACCATGAGCCGCAGTCATATTCCGGCCTCTGTGATGGTCTGGGCCGGCATTTGCGCCCACCAGAAAGACGTCGCTGGTCTTCATCAACGAAAATGTCAAATGCTTTCTATTTTGACTGCCACTTGCAGTGGTATGATCTTTATAGTATATCCAATATGTGGAGTACTGTGCAAAAACGTTTGCGTCAGCCGGGATTCGAACCCAGATCTCACTCTTTCCGGGAGCGTATGCTAACCGTTGCACTACCGACGCTCGTTGTTGCACAGCACTCTTATTTTACGCTATTACGCGTTGTCTGCCAACAGCCAACCGTCGACGGTCTGGCGGGGCCGCCGCTATCGGCATTGAACCCACTTGTGTTGACAGACATTGGTTATCGATAATCAGTCTAAATGCTTTCTATTTTGACTGCCACTAGCAGTGGTATGATCTTTA